AAGAATGTGCTGCTACATCAACTGATAAATAGCCTGGCTCACAAGGGAGTGCTGCTACATCGACTGACAAATAGCCTGACTCGCAAGGGAGTACTGCTACATCGACTGACAAATAGCCTGACTCGCAAGTGAGTGCTGCTACATCAACTGAGGGTTTGGTTTGGGCAGGCAGTCTATCATTTAAAAAAAAAAAAAAATTTAAGTTTTTAAACTTTTTCTGGTCTAGTTTATTAACGCGCTCTTTAAAACTACAGTTTATGGGAAACTCTTTTTGACTACCATGCAAGAGTATATATATATATATATATATATATATATATATATATATATATATATATATATATATATATATATATATATATATATATATATATATATATATATATATATATATATATATATATATATATACATATATATATATATATATATATATATATATATATATATATATATATATATATATATATATATATATATATATATATATATATATATATATATATATATATATATATAAACAATTTTAAAATGTATTCTACAAAATAGAGAGCTCGATGTTCTTAAAAAAACAGACCAATCATAAATTCGTAGAAAATCTCTTATCAAATTTTTTTTTCATTTAACAGTGTTTCATCAATAATGACTCATCAGAAATGAATGAAATTAATAAAACTTCAATTTATACCAAAAATCAAATTACAGGAAGTCACAAATGTCTTAACTACTGTAAATTTTCACACATTTGTGGAATATGCTGACACTGTTATAAAAAGAATTCTTTAGAGTTCATTACTTTTGCTTTTTTTTAAAAAAAAATTTTCTAAAAGAGGGGATTTAATGGAACTATTATTTAAGCTCACGTATTTTTATAGTTTTTTAGGAAAAACTTGTTTTTGTGCCTGCATTTAGAAATCAATTTCGATTTTTTATTTAAACATTCTTGGTTTGCATGTGTAATAATTTCAAGTTTTTCTTGTAGGCATAGTATGCATTTTTTGGAAATATTGTTATATGCAGTTGCTGTTTTAAGGATGGACTAATTCAGTAAAAAATCATCAGTATTTTTATCTTTTAATTCCCATATATATTTTGACAGCATGGTGTCTTTTAAATGGTTTTTATTTTGAAAGGATTGCTTATGATTGGCTAAGCATTTTTTCCATTCACCCTCTGTTATGCCAATATATTGTTAATCAGTTACATTCATAGAGGAAACAACACATTTATACACCGCATTTTTTGATAAACAACTTCCACTCATAGGACAATTTTTTTGTTTGTTTACAATTACAATTTTCTATAGTTTTTTTATTTAGGATTTCTATTTTGTTTAACAAAGCATCATTATGACCTGTTATAATTTTTTTCATATTTTTTGTGCAACTGTAGCTAACTTTAATTTTGTTTTGATTAAAAATTTGATGTAATTTATTAGAGGGCGGGAAATGCTTATTGACCAATTTTAAAATTTTCCAATGTTAGTGGAAACACTTTTGCTATATAGAGGTTGAACTAGTAAATGACCGGGGTTGATATTTGACCAGGGCCAGGGCTGGGTTTGATAAAATATAGCTGGGGCTGGGGCCGAGTTTGTAACCGGGGCTGCATAAATATTTATACATCCTAAAGTATATTTTTTTAATTTAAAATTCATGTTATATTTTGTACATATACGCATATATAAACATCATTATGATCAACATTATCATCATAATCATAATCATTATCATCATAAGTAAATTCGATTTTAAAAATATATAAATGTATGCCATTATTTAATAAATAGTAAATATAAGCATAAAATTATAATATATTAAGTATTATAAATTTTTTTTAGCCCCGGCTATCAAAAATTGGCTTGGTCACTTACTAGGTTGAACCAAATTATATTTCTAGTTTTATTTAATTTTTTGTATTTTTTTTTTCAGAAGTCAAATTTTAGTTTAAAATTTTCAAAACCACTTTTTTTTAAGGGCATCTTCAAATATTTGTTTGGAGGAATTGAATACATTTTCATTACATGAGTTTTGATTTAACTTGTTATTATTTGAAATCGGGATTTGTTTTAGAATTTGGTGTGGATGATTTAAGCTAATATTAATATTCAATAATTCATTGTTTGGTTTTTTGAAAGTCTCATATGAATTTTCAGAGAGGTTAAATGTGACATCAAGAAAGTTCATAATTTTTAAATTTGTTTATTTTGATTTGAAAGCCAATATTTTTTAAAAAAAATTTAATATCTTTTCTAATCTTATCGAACAGTGGACCAGATTTTTTATGCACTACTATTAAACCATCGTTACGATAAAGGTCTAAATCTTTTATATTGATTATTTTACTTAGTAAATCTAAAATATATAGTCCAACAAATTCACAAATTTCTGCTCCGTCATAACTGCCCAATGTTACATCAAAGCAGTCATGTATGTTTTTCTTTTTCCAAGGATTTTATTACAATGTTTTATTATACGGATTGTTTTTTTCAGGAATAACTGACTTTTTGCAAAATCAATTGTTTTATCTAAAATATTTGCAGTTATTGAGGGGTAAAAATCAATGTCAAATTGAATAAATGTACAGTCATGTTTATTTTCGGTTATGGAGAGCCAATTTATAACATCAGTGGTATTTTTCCACTGTTGGAAGTTTAATTTATTTTTAAGGATAATATTATTTTGCCCAATTTAATTTTGCTTACATGTCTAATCTCATTTTTTGAGGGAACCAACAACCTACAAGGAAGTTTGTTTTGAAAATTTGGCTTGTGGTCTTTAAGTGTTACAAAGGCTTTGTCAGGGGCAGTTGATTTGATTCTGTTATCAAGGTTTATTTTTTTAGCAATACTTTGCACTTCTAAATTAATTGTGTTTTCCGAATTTTTAAGGACTTTTTCATAAAACTAGTAATATTGCTGCTTAAAATTTTTTCATAGTTTTCTGTTGTAAGTTGGTAATTGATATTTGTTTTATCAGCAAAAACCAAAATATTAGGGTTTGATTTAATTTTTTTAAGATCTAATTTTAATTCTGTTTGAAATTTGTTTTTTATAGAGCAAAACTTTATTGTTTTAATTAAATGCATTTTCAAAATTTTCCAAATCAGGTATAAAAGGTGAAGTATTTTTTGTTTTAAATCCATAACTATCATTATCTTGATTATTATTATATCTATCATTATCTATCATAACTATCATTATCTTGGTTATTATTATATATTACTTGGTTATCTATCATTATCTTGGTTATTATTAAATACATCATCAACGAATTCTTTTAATAAAATGCTCAACTTTATAAATCAAAGAAATAGTATAACTTTTTTCATCTAGTATAGGTCTATTTCTCAACAAGTAAGTGAAATTATAAGTTTCAATATTTACACAGAATGTTAAAATACAAATAAGTGTGCTCAACAAATGTTAGAAAGAAGAATGTTTATTAAACAAAAAATCGGAATTGTTTTCTAATTGCAGGCATAAAAATAAGTTTTTCGTAAAAAGCTATAAAAATAAGTGAGCTCAAATAATAGTTATTTTAATTCCCCTTTTAAAAAATTAAAAAAAAAAGCAGAGGTAATCAGTTATAAAGAATTCTTTTTAAAATATTGTCCGCATATTCCACAAATGTGTGAAAGTTTACAGTAGTTCAGGCTTGGACAGGACTGACATTTTTTTTTTTTTTCTTTACAACTTTACCATGGCTATTTTGATATTTTAGCAATTTAAATGTAATAAAAAAAAGTGTTACGTTATGAATAATTTTTAATCGTTAATCTTTTTTAAAGTTTTTATTTTATGCAATAAATAAAATCATAAAATTAGTTATAATGATTGTTTACAAATACACGTGTGTGAATTAATAAAAAATGTTATATTTAAATTTTTTATGTGGGCATGTATTTTTTATGATAAATTTAAATGTTTGAAACTTTTTTTCCAATTGTTCTTAAATATCTTTTAAACCATTATTTTTAGAAAGAATTTTTTTAAGTTTCTTTAATATATGAATAAGTTAAAAATCTTTTGTGACTATTAGTTTTTACACATTTTATGTGAATTATACAAGAATATAAAATAACTTTATTTACATATATAAGCATATATTTTGTCAGTTAATGGAAAAGTTTTGAAGCATCTACTAATGTTATTAAATTAAATTGCTTGTTCGCAGTTTATTTTATTTAAATCGCAGGCGCATTTTTTTTTTCTTTCTATAAAAAATTTGAAAACCTTTTTTAGCTAGACTTACTAATAAGAGCATAAAATTAATAAAAATTACTATTTTAAAAAGACCATTTTTTTTTTTTAACAATTTTTTTTTTTTTTTTTTGCAACTTCTTTAAAAAAATAAATATTTATACAATTTAAAAATATTATATACAATTTTTAATAAATTTGATGAAATTTGTTTATTTATTAAACAATCATTAGTAGTAATTTTTTACTTAATTTAAAAGTGTTTTGCGTAACTTTAATAAAGCGTGTATATATATATATATATATATATATACACACACACACGCCTATAGTAAAAGCCTTAGATATACAGTTAATAGTAAAAAACAGCTCTTTGTCTGTAGTTTTTAAACTGACAAAATTAAGGTTAGATTATAACAAAACTCATTAATTTAATTACGGAAACTAATCAAGATGAAAAAACCACAAAAATGCAAATTAAAAGACTGCAATATTTTTAAAAATATTAAGAATGTTTTTATTTTGTATTTTAAAAATAAAAACATTCTAAATATTTTTATTTTTATTTTTTTACTGTAAAACATGCACAGAGTGTTGCTACAATGACTATCTTAGTCAGCTGCTACAAGGAAGTGCTGCTACATTGACTATCTTATAGCCTGACTTGCAATGAAGTGCTGCTACGTTGACAGCTAATATATATATATATATATATATATATATATATATATATATATATATATATATATATATATATATATATATATATATATATATAGTTAAATATTGTTTATTTTAGGTAAGAGATGAATACAATGCTGGGAAAAATGGGCTTAGTGCCTCTCAAGCTCAAAGAAAAATCCGTCTTTTGTACTTGCAGCAAACTATTTCAAAAAATGATGATATTTTAGTTCATCTTTTAAGAGTCATTCCTGATAAGTTTAAAAGCGTTGTTAATGGAGATATTAAGTACACCAATTTAGTGTTTGAGGTATGTTGTTTTCTAGTACATTTTACTATTGATACTATCTTATGTTATATATGCATGTATGTATATATATATATATATATATATATATATATATATATATATATATATATATATATATATATATATATATATATATATATAGCAGGGCTGGAATTAAGCGTATAGCAATCGCGAATCGCAATTGCTTTTTACACCTTCGCGATTAGTTTTTTCTTAAAACATATATTTTTGTGATTGGTTTATTTTTTTAGTTGTTTATTTACTATTTTTCTAATTTAGCTTTTTTTTTTGGCAATTCTTAAAAGTAATGTTTTCATAGTAAAGTACGTCACGCAAAGTTTATCTTTTGAATAGAAGCATGATCATTTGCTTTTGAATAGAAGTATAATCATTTGCTCTTTCGCGCAGAGATTTTTATTCAACGTAAAGCACTTTTTAATCTAAATTACTTTAAATCTCTGTGTAGAAGCAAATTAAAAAGACAAAAGTTAAAAATAATGTTTTCCTCATTCTATTTTTTTAACAAAAAAGTATTTTTTATCTTTTTTTAAAAAGAAACGTTGCTCCAAATTAACTTAATAATAATGATTTAAATTATTATTTTATAAACAATTTTATATGATTATTTTTACTACTTCAAGTATAATAAAATATATATAAATTCGTTTTTATTAAATAAAATTTCTATTAGTAAAATTGTGCTAAAAGAAACCAGCAACTTTTTTGCTTTTGCGTTTTTTGCTTTAATAACCTTGAAACTATTGAAGTTATATTTAGTTAACTATACTAAATGGATAGAGTATATCACAGTAAATTAACTTATAACCTAAACTAAAACAACCAGTTAAGTTAAGATAGTAACCTACAGTTACTCAAGTATTAATTTAACAATTATATTAAATAATTTAATATACTCACAAAAGTTAGCCATAGACGTGTTTCAATTTAGATCTTATATATTGTTAACAGATATTATAAGCTTTTAACTAATAATTATTTTAACAAAAATTGGCGAATAGAATATGAAAAACGCGACACCATTTTTTTATATTTTCATTTTATTTATAGCGACATCTAGACTAAATATACGCAATTGTTTTCAGGAATTTTAATTAAAAAGAAATCAATTTAACTAGTGAACTTTAGCCTTAAAATTCACTATAATTTTGTGATTGAAATTTGAAATTTAAAAAAAATTTAAAAATTTGAAAAAAGATTGATGAAACAAGGGAGAAAAAAAGAAAGCTTTTTTTTTTCTTAAATCGTAAATTTTTTTAATGTTTTAAATTATATATTTTTTCTTGAAAATAGTTTTAAAAGTAGAAACATTCTATTGCAAACATCAAAGCAGTGATTGCAAATTGCAAGTTAAAATAAAAATTATAAAAAATTTAAATTAAATTTAATAAATTATTTTTCTTCAGTTCGAAAAAAAAATTTTCTTAAAAAAAAAATTTAAGCATATTCTTATACTTAATATAATTCGGTTTATTAAACAAAATTTTTTGTTTCATTTTTTTTTTGTAAAACAATCAGAATAAAAAAAAAAATGAATGAAAATCACTTTAAAAACCATTTGAATGAAAAACTTAATTATACTTCAATTTTTAATCATACGCTTGATCGGGAAATGAAAAATTATAAAAGACGTGGTATCTAATGTTTTTATGCTTTGATCTTACTGGTTTGGTCCATATATTATAAACTCGTATAGGTCTATAGGCGCAGATATGAAGATTTGTTTTAGTTTATTAACTAGATCAATTTTATTTATTTGCTTCCTTTTATTTTAAACACATTTTATTTTATAAATTGAATAAATCAACACAAAACAGCGTCACAAATTTGTTTTACATTAACCCAAGCTCTTTATATTTTTATAACAACTTGGCAGTTTGTTTTAATGTTGTTTTATAGCTTTTAACAATTAAATACTTTTTAAAATTAACACGTGTTTTAACGTCAGCACGAACATATAAAGTAGTTTTCTTTGACTAATTAAAGTGGTTTAAATATTGCATGTTGCTTTTTCTCTTACTTTTTTACTTTTACTTTTTTAAGTATTATGTTAAGTAAAAATATACTTAAAGAAATATCTTAATAGTATTAAAAACGTTATTGCTTATTACAACTGCAACTTAAACTTTAAGTTATAACTTATTTTGTAAATAATAACAGTAACTTATGCTATTTTAAACTCTGCCGAACAAGAAAATTATAAAATTATATTTAAATATAAGAAATAATATGTTAAAAATAGAACAATTACGTACTAAAGTTACAATTATATACTAATGCAACTTTTCTTCCCTTCCCCTCCCCCTCCCCCCATTACCCCAAAGCGGCGCTAGGTATAAGGAGGGGGGGGTTGTGAATTTTTATTTATTTCACAATTAGATTTTTTGCATTAATTCGAGCCCTGTAGAGATGATACAGAGATAATATATATACAGATTTTATATATTTATATATATATATATATATATATATATATATATATATATATATATATATATATATATATATATATATATATATATATATATATATATATATATATATATATATATATATATATATATATATATATGTATATGTATATGTATATATATATATATATATGTATATATATATATATGTATATATATATATATATATATATATATATATATATATATATATATATATATATATATATATATATATATATATATATATGTATATGTATATGTATATATATATATATATATATATATATATATATATATATATATATATATATATATATATATATATATATATATATATATATATGTATATGTATACATATATATATATATATATATATATATATATATATATATATATATATATATATATATATATATATATATATATATATATATATATATATATATATATATATATTAGTAGAAAATCACTTAGCAAAATTTTTTCTCATTTAACACTGTGTTTCATCAATAAAGACTCATCAGAATGAATGATCAAATTAATAAAACTTCAATTTATACCAAAAATTAAATTACAGGAAGTCACATGTCTTAACTACTGCAATTTTTCACACATTTGTGTAATTTGCTGACACTATTGTAAAAAGTATTCTTTAGAAATGATTACTTAAGCTTTTTTAAAAAAATAATATTTATTTTTCAAAAGGGAGTTAATGTAACTATTATTTAAGCTCACTTATTTTTATAGTTTTTTAGGAGAAACTTATTTTCGTGCCTGCATTTAGAAATCAATTCCGATTTTTTGTTTAATAAACATTCTTGGTTTGCATGTGTAATTATTTGAAATTTTTCTTGTAGACATTGTATGCATTTTTTGGAAATATTGTTGTATGCAGGCGCTGTTTTAAGGATGGACCAATTCAGTATAAAATCATCAATATTTTATCTTTCAATTCCCATATATAATTTGACAGCATGGTGTCTTTTGAATACTTTTTATTTTTAAAAGATTGCTTATGATTGGCAAAACGTTTTTTCCATTCACCTTCTGTTATGCCAATATATTGTTTATCAGGTACATTCTTAGAGGAGACAACACATTTATATACCACATTTTTTGATAAGCAACTTCCACTCATTTGGACTTAATTGTTTTTTTTGTTTACAATTACAATTTTCTGTAGTTTTTTCATTTTAAATTTCTTTTTTGTTTAACAAAGCATTGTTGTGACCTTTTATAATTCTTTCCATATTTTTTGTGCAACTGTGGGTAACTTAAATAGTATTTTGATTAAAATTTTTATGTAATTTATTAGAGGGCGGGAAATGCTTATCGATCAATTTTAAAAACACTTTTCCTATGTTTGTGGAAACATTTTTGCTATATGGGGGGTTGAACCAAATTACATTTCTAGTTCTATTTCGCTTTTTTGTATTCTTTTTTTCAGGGTCAAATTTTAATTCAAAGTTTTCAAAACCACTTTTTTTAAGGGCATCTTTAAATATCTGTTAGGAGGAATTGAATACATTTTCATTAAAGAAGTTTTGGTTAAGCCTGTTATTAATTGAAATCGGGATTTGTTTTAGAATTTGGGGTGAATGATTTGAGTTAATATTAATATACAATAATTCATCATTTGGCTTATATGTATTTTCCGTGAGGTTAAATGTGTCATCAAGAAAGTTCACAATTTTTAAATTTATGTTTATTTCAATTTGAAAGCCAATATTTTAAAAAAATTTTATAATATCTTTTCTAATTTTATCAAGCTGTGGACCAGATTTTTTATGCATTACTATTAAACCATCGTCGCGATAAAGGCCTAAATTGTTTATATTGATTATTTTAATAAATCTAAAATATATAATCCAACAAATTCACAAATTTCTGCTCCATCATAACTGCCCATTGTTACATCAAAGCAGTTATGTATATTTTTCTTTTTCCAAGTTTCCTTATTAAAATATTTATTTTAATAAGAAAACTTGGAAAAAAAAAACATGGATGGTGTCCCTGTTAATGCTTTTGGTGTACATTGTCAAGGCCACATAGGGAGCCCTATGTCACGGCTTAGGGTTAGTTAACAGGACTGAGACAACTGCATAGCTCATTGATTAGAAGGCTGTGCTCTATCTATGAATGAGTCAAGTTCTCATTAAACCCAAATCATGACCAAAGTAACCAAAAATGTAAAACCTAAAAAACCATCCCAACCACTTAAATATTTTAATATATCTTTTACCAATATTCGCGGTCTATGAAGCAACTTTCCATCAGTTGAGTCTTACCTCCTGCAAAATTCACCAGACTTGCTTGCACTCAGTGAAACAAATTTAAATTCTGCAATTCCTTTTTTAGATGTCAGTGTTGATGGGTACAACCTTTTGATTCGTAAAGACTCATAGTCATGCTAGGTTTAGGGATATACATACGCATTAATTCCTCTATTTGTCGTGAAATCAGGTTCAAATCCTTTGACCATTCTTTTATGTGCTTTCGTCTAGCACCTCTTCACTCTATCATCTTTC